CTATGCGTGCCAGGGTCGTCCAGGCATTGCAGGCGTGGCATTTTCTCGACACCAGAGGGGGTGCGCAGGGGGTGGTCTCCCTATGCGTGCCAGGGTCGTCCAGGCATAGCAGGCGTGGCATTTTCTCGACACCAGAGGGGGTGCGCAGGGGGTGGTCTCCCTATGCGTGCCAGGGTCGTCCAGGCATTGCAGGCGTGGCATTTTCTCGACACCAGAGGGGGTGCGCAGGGGGTGGTCTCCCTATGCGTGCCAGGGTCGTCCAGGCATTGCAGGCGTGGCATTTTCTCGACACCAGAGGGGGTGCGCAGGGGTGGTCTCCCTATGCGTGCCAGGGTCCAGGCATAGCAGTGTTTCAGAAGCAGGATTTGCGCAGGGGGTGGTCTCCCTATGCGTGCCAGGGTCGTCCAGGCATTGCAGGCGTGGCATTTTCTCGACACCAGAGGGGGTGCGCAGGGGGTGGTCTCCCTATGCGTGCCAGGGTCGTCCAGGCATTGCAGGCGTGGCATTTTCTCGACACCAGAGGGGGTGCGCAGGGGGTGGCCTCCCTATGCGTGCCAGGGTCGTCCAGGCATTGCAGGCGTGGCATTGTCTCGACACCAGGGGGGGTGCGCAGGGGGTGGTCTCCCTATGCGTGCCAGGGTCGTCCAGGCATTGCAGGCGTGGCATTTTCTCGACACCAGAGGGGGTGCGCAGGGGGTGGCCTTCCTATGCGTGCCAGGGTCGTCCAGGCATTGCAGGCGTGGCATTTTCTCGACACCAGAGGGGGTGCGCAGGGGGTGGTCTCCCTATGCGTGCCAGGGTCGTCCAGGCATAGCCTCTAGTGCGGGATTGCGTATTACCTCTCGTATCCAAGTGCCAGGCGACGCCGGGCATGACCGTCACATATGACTCCTCAACCCCTCCTCTCCCCCCACACGTCCTCCCCCTCCTTTCAACGACCACAGGGGGCACCTGAGAGCATGACGGCGGTGGTAGTGGTAGCGCGGTTCACACAAGACGTAAAATCAGTATGTGGGGTTCGTCGGTAGCGTAATTCTAGTGGTCGTGGGCGGGCTGATGAAGAAAAGGATGGATGCGCTGGGGCCTTGAATTCATACCGCAATGCTCATGTGCTGTTTGAAACAGGATACACTGGTACATCTTCAAAGATTGGCTTCCCAGGGGCCGCGGGAGGGCCGAGGAAGACGGGGGGTGATCGGCTGGGGCCCCGCATTCGCACCACAATTTCCATGTGTAGCTTTAAGCAGGAAATGCCAGCACATGTTCGAACATTTGTTTCCTAAGGGGCCATGGGCGGGCTGCGCACTCGTACCAACATGTCCATGTGCAGTTCGAAACAAGAAACGCTCGCAAATTGTCAAGAATAGGTTTCCCAGGGGCCATGGGCGGGCTGAGGAGGAATGGGGGTGATTGGCTGGTTCCCCACAATGGTTGCGCAATTTCCATGTGTAGCCCGGAACAGAAAACGCTCGCAAATGTTCGAACACGGTTTTGTGGGGTCCTGGGGAAGGGAAAGGAGGGATACGAGGAGGAGGGATGAGCGACGTGGGCACATGCTGTACCCCAGTGCTTATTATGTTTGGAACCAGGGCTTTCGATGGAGGCGCGGGGCGAAGGAGCGCCTCGAGGCTTGCTTGATTTCGAACGCGCGGCACGACATGTTGAGCTTAATGTTGGATGCTGCGAGGAGTTGTGTGGGTATCAACTTCGTTGTTCGTTGCTCGTTCGAAAACCTGGGCACGAAGGCCGGGGCCGACTTGTTTTGTCCGTTAGATATAGCTTGCAGGTTTAAAGGCCATCTTGAGCTTAGGCGTGCGGGGGCCGTTGGCGACGTAGCGACGAGCACGTAATGGAAAGTGGAAAGGACTTCGCGGGCCCAAGATTCGTTGTTCAGTTGATGTGGCTGGATTCCTGACTTAGGCTGTATGGTGCAATTTCGGAGGGCATGGAGAGCTCGAGCACGCGGCGCCATGCTGATGCTGATAGTGATGATGGTGAATATGACGATTATGTTGCTACTGGTGGTGTCTACGCTGATTATGAACATGATGGTGGCGATGATGACGATGTTGATCATTATGGTGAGTTTGATGTTGTGGATGCGGAATATGAAGACTATGCTGATAGTGATTATGGTGTTGATGACGGTGATGATGACTATGCTGATGATGCGGATGATGATGCAGATGCGCATGATCATGCTCATCATGATACGGATGATGATTCTGCGGGTGAGGAATAAGAGAAGGAGGAGGAGAAGGAGGAGGAGGAGGACGATGACGATGACGAGGAGGAAGAGGAGATAGGATGAGGATACAATCTGCCTTAACGTGGCTACGAAACGATAGGGATGGAGGCGCGCATGATGTATTGGTGCACGTATTGTACCTGCATGGAGGGGGGCTGGATGGAGGGAGTGATGGATGGATGGGTGGCTGGGGGTAGCCTGGATGGATGGGGGCAGGCTGGATGGAGGGACGGGGGGTGAGAGAACAGGGATGCTCGATGGAGTGAAGATGGAGGGAGGCTGGATGGAATGAGGCAGGCTGGAAGTAGTCTGGATGGATGGATGCACGCTGGATGGAGTGAGGGAGGGGGAGGGAAAAGGGAGGCTTGATGGAGGCAGGATGGAGGGACTCTGGTTGGAATGAAGCTAGATGGAAGTAGGGTAGGAGGCCAGAAGGAGGGTGGATGGCTGGAAGAGTGGAAGGCAGCTGGAGGGCACTGCAAAGGGATAGATGGAGGGTGGATCGACCGGGAACGCGCGGAACGCCGGGAAGGCCAGGAAACACCGGTTGACCGAGAAGACAAGGAAGGCCGGGAAGGCCGGGAAGACAAGGAAGGCCGGGAAGGCCGGGAAGGCCGGGACGTGCGGGAAGGCCGGGAAGGCCAGGAAGGTCGGGAAAGCCGGGAACACTGGGACCAGCCCCAGATCCACCTCTTCTCAGTGCCGTCGCGCTCTCGTGGCAGCAGCCGCCGCGAGACGCTCCGGGCCCTCCGCGGGTCCTCCGACGACGGGTCAACTCCTACGTGACAAAATGCCTCCCGCATCGCGCCCGCCGCCAGAGCGCTGCCGGCGCCGCCCGTCGCACCCCCGGCCGTTCCGCTTGCCCTCTTCTGCGCCTGCGCCCGCCCCCACCACCTGGCGCGGCCGACCTGGCCTGGACCCCGCATTTTTTGGTCTGCGGGTCGAGAGCGGGCCTCTTCCGGTTAAGAGCTAGGCGGGGCGCGCAGAGCACACTGGACCCCGCATCCCTCGCACCCGCCGGGGCACGCCGCCCCGTCGCTACACCCTCCGCCGCTCCACGAGGTGAGCAGCACCTTGCTGCCCGACGCGCGGCCGTCCTCAGGTCCGTTTCTCTGTTCTCTTGGCGCCGTTCGCGCGATCCGCACCCCCCTCGCCACGCGCTCATTGAGGCTCGCGGCGCTAATTCCTGATCGCGACAACTGTTCTCCAGATGTTTTGACTTTCGAATGCGGCGTACCCCCAGGGAGTGGCTTTTCATCCTGACTCCTTTCTTGCAAGTCCCTGGGCCCAGCCAACGCCACCAGAGGCCGAAAATTCGAACGAACCTGGATTTTGTCTTTGTGAATGCGTGGGATCAGTGGCACCTCCGCGCCATGGAGATGTTCCCACCGCGGATCCAAGAAATCCGCGCGCAGACCCGAGTTGTTGGGTTTGTATCCTCGTTCGTTCCCCGATAAGGTATGTCGCCAGAGGAGGTTGACCGCTATCCATTGAGAAATCAAAATCCACAACAGAATTTTCAGCCGAGTGAAATGAAACCGGACTTCATCGAAGGCGGAATCGAAACGAACAGCAAGAGTCGAAATGCTCGAGGGCCACGTTCGAACAGTTCTGCGCAGTCGTGGGCTCTGTGGTGGCTTTGTTCGGATCCTCGTTGGGACCACTAGTCTAAAAAATCCGACCGTTCCACTCCTTGCGGTCACGCTTCCTTGTGATGCTGCCCACTGCCAACAATGCTTGGGCGCCCGAGGCGCGATCCCGCCGCACACAAAAAAGGGCGGCGGATGTAGCGCAAGCCTGCAGAATTATATGATAAAGTAACTTGGCCAGTTGAAATTGGTGTCAGTTTGTCTTTGTGTGCTGGTTGGAACAAATGCAAGTGGGTTGGGATTGGTCTCGCTTGGTTGGGTATAGTGACGCACCCCTTCAGAAACATGCCTTAGTGAAAAATGCCAAAGGCACTCCACGCGCGCACGGCGTCGCATTCCGGGTGCACCCCAACCCGGCAGCTGATCGACGCCCAAAAACAGACGAATGTACCCGGCGGGCGGCGCGTCGATTAACGAAACCAACTACGGACTGCATCTGCGCACTCGAATGCTAATGTTGGGTGGGCTCGTGCAGATTTTCTCAGTCGACTCGTCGGGGTGGGGGTTCTCGCAATGCCCGAGAAGAGGAGAAGAGGGAGGGGAAATGACGGTGCGGGAGGAGCGGGGGCAGGAGGTGAAGGAGGTGGACTGGAAGAAACGGCAAAAGAGGAGCAGGCCGACGACGACGACGACGGGAGCGGCGAGGACCGAGGGAGAACGAGGAGGAGCAGGACCAGCGAAGGGGCAGGAACAGGAAGATGAAGGACGAACGACGACGACCAGGACAGAAGGAGGAGGATCATGAGAAGTGGCGCAGGCCATGCCTCCGCCGCAGCAGCCGCCGCCAGCGACATGCTCGCCGCCGTCGTCGTGGTCGCCGCCGCCGCCAACGCCAACCCGCCGTCGTGGTGGAAATGCCACGGCTGCGCCGCAGCCGCAATCGACGCGACCGCCGCTGCCGCCGCCGCGGGCACCGCCGCGGTCGCCGCCGCCGTGGTCGTCGCCGCCGTGGTCGTTGTCGTGGTGGTGACCGTGGCCGTGGTCGTGGTCGTGGATGTGGTCGTCGTGGTCGTGGTCGTGGTCGTCGCCGTCGAGGTCGTCGCCGTCGAGGTTGTCGTCGTCGTGGTCGCCGACGCCACCAGAGCCGAGGAGCTGCCGCGGGCCTTGCCGTTGTCGCGGTCGAAGAGCTGGGCCTCGCAGGAGCCGCTGCCGCCCGCAGCGACGCTCTCGGACTCGGGACCCTTCGAAAACTGCGCGGCGTACACCTGGCCCCCTTCTAGTCCTGCCACTCTACCTCCTCCTCCCCTCCTCCTCCTCCTCCTCCTCCTCTCCTCCTCCTCCTCCTCCTCCTCCTCCTCCTCCTCCTCCTCCTCCTCCTCCTCCTCCTCCTCCTCCTCCTCTTCCTCCTCCTCCTCCTCCTCCTCCTCCTCCTCCCCCTCCTCCCCCTCCTCCTCCCCCTCGTCCTCCTCCTCCTCCTCCTTCTCCACGTCCTCCTCCTCCTGTGATGGTCCTCCTCATCCTCCCGTGCCCCACCTTATCCCCCCGTCCCCTTCCTTGCTGCCGTTCACCTTTCTCCTGTTCCCCCTCCTCAGTCGGTCCTCCACCTCCTCCTGATTCTGTCCCTGTTCCTCCTCCTCCGCCATCTACGACCTTCCGTCTCATCTTTACCCAACTTAAGCCGAACAGGGCTCAAATCATCAGGTAGTACTGGTCGTGATGTTGGGGTCCATCGTAGCGGACCCAAGGACATGGCGGAAAGTAAAGGTGATAAGGTCCGTTCAGCAATGTGGAAAGGAACAGGTGTTGTATGATGTATACGCGCGCGGGGCACGCGCGCGACCTTTTCCAGTCCGAAATAATTTCGGTCAAGTAACCCCATGCTGCAGATAATAAACCCTAAGGGAAGAGTTCGGGGTTTTCGGGGGAATAATAAAAGTTGCCCGCCAGAGCCAGCATAAAGAGATATCAAGCTGTCAGAGAGAGAAAAGGAAATCCAAATAACATGCATATACACATATATATATATAAGGAAAAGAAGAAGAGCAGGGGGAGCAGGAGGAGGAGAGAGGAGCGGAGAAGAAAGAAGCGAAAATCCAAAGTTCAAAACGTATTAGATTTAATGTGTAAGCGCTTAATGGAAATTAGGGTTTCCATCTGCTCGCTCTGCCTAGTTCCCCCAGGACAATCAACCACAGCTATAAACAAGTTCAGGGGACAGGGAGACAAGAAGAAAAAGAAATAGAAAGGGAGAGAGAGAGAGAGAGAGACATAAAGAAATGAGAACAGAAAGATCAGAAGGATGAGAAGGAGGAAGAGCAGGGGAAGCAGAGGAAGAGGAAGAAGCAACAATCCAAAGTTCAAAACTTATTAGATTTAATTTGTGAGCGCCCAATGAAAATCAAAATTTTCATCTGCTCGCGCAGGTAGTTCACGTGCTTAGTTCCCCCCGGATAAGCAACCCCAGCGATGAACAAGTTCAGGGGGGCAGGGAAACAAGAAGAAAAATAAACAGAAAGAGAGAGATAAAGAAAGAAGCAAAGAAAAACGATAATGATGAGAAGGAGGAAGAGCACGAGAAACATGAGAAGGAAGTAACCTCGATGGCGAACTTTTCCCGTGAGTTCGGCCCCCGCGCCCCCGCGCCCCCGACCAAATCTCATTGGCCGACGATAAAAAACTCTAACTACTAATGGGGGGGGGCATTATTATCGCGGGCATGGGGTTTCGTGTTCAATCAAGGTTGTATATGTACATAAACGGCGGCAGGCAGCGCGTGGTAACGACTCCCCCCGAGGCGGCCCGGCCGCAGCGGCCGGCCTGGGCCGACGGGGCACCATCGGGGCCCTTCGTTCCCGACGGCGCCTAATTAAGACGGGCGCGGGCGCGGGGCTCTCACAGCCGCCAGCAGCCCCGCCAGCCACGTGGCGTGCACCATTCGGCCATAGGCCGAGAGTGTCAGATGTGCGTGGGCGCGAGGCTCTCACAGCCGCCAGCAGCCCCGCCTGGCACTTGTGGCGCGCCATGCGGCCATGGGCCGGGAATGCGCGTGCGCCGGCCTTGTCTCCAGAGCGCCATGGGCGCATGAGCGTCTGGAGCTTGCCGGCGCCATCCGCCGTCGCGGCGCCATTGGTCGCGGTCGTCGTAGCGGCGACCCGCCCAACTGTCGCAACCTCCCTTGCGATGGTTATCTTTGCCCGGGGTCCTCTGCTACCGGCACGGCTGGAGGTGCCCCTCCACGCACTCCAGGCGCGGTCGATGGGGGGTCGGCTTTGCCCCCGTTCGCGCCATGGGCGGTGAGCGGACTCAGGGGCCTGCTGGGAAGATGACGACGCGGCGCCGCTTTACTCCGACTGGCGGATGTCGGTGTAGCGGCACGGACGCACCGAGGGAGGGGAAGCTGTGCGACTGCCCCCCTTCTCTCGGGGTCGTTTGCCCTTCCCCATTCCCGCAGCTTCTGGAGGCGGCGGAGCAGCGCCACTCGACGCGCTGCGCTGCCCTTGCCGCCAGCCGTGCGCAGGAACGCAGCCGCCTGAAACGCGGCCGCTCTGCCCCCTGGTATAGACGGGGGGCTGAGCGGGCGCTTGCGGCTGACGGAGCGCGCAGCCCTGGCGGTAGTCGCTGGGGGCTGACGGGCCCGTGCTCCTCGTGCCATGGGCACACGTGAGGGGCGGCCCTCCTCGTCAGATTCGGGTGGCGCCACTCCTTGCTGTGTCCACACATTCAACGCGTATACGGCGGCCTCGTACACATGCAGCGGCCACCTTTCGGTTGCTGAGTGCCGGAAGGCGTCGAGCGTGACCCGCTGACCTCGGACGGGAGCCGCCGCTTGCGACTGCAACGCGCACTCCATGCACGCCTCGAGGAGCGCGTCGGATGCGACGTGTGGCAAAATCGGCTCGGTTTCTATATATATATATATATATATATATATATGTATGTGTGTGTGTCCTTGTGCGCCAGCTCCAGCAACTCACGATGCGACTTCAGGTTGTTTAGGTCGCGCACCAGCGTCGTGCTGAACTGTTTCACTTCTGCGAGATGAGTGCGCATGGCGCTGTCATCTGCGTGGTCCGCATCAACCTGCGTCCAGTCGAAGTGCTGTGTCAACTCGACTGCAACCCTGCAGGCCTGTTCTGATACCCATTTTGTCTTGACATTGAAGAGGTCTGGGTCGTAGACGGAGAACTCGGGCGGTTCGTACCACATCTTGCGGATCTGCTCTTCGCAGGAGGCGCGAGTGTCCGCCTGGTGGTATTCGAGGGGCTCGTCAATCGCAGCGAAGTACGCGACGAGCTCAGGGGCCGCCTGTGTGACGCGGCACTTATTGATTGGTCGCCTGAGATCAGCTTGATGAATGTCCTGGCCCCGGCGAGGCACGCGAGAGCTAGTTCGTCTGAACATGGCGCGACCCCCGAATGCTCTTGGTGCGTCCGCTGAACGCACGCGTCGCCGACTGTTCGATCTGCCTTGCCTGCCATGGGCATGAGCTGGCGGCCTTGCAGAGGTGGGACGGCATCCACGCGCGTCCCCAACGTGTTATGCTTATTCTTCGTCTTCCTCGAAGCCAATCAAATTCTCCTTCGGCGACCAGTGGGATTCCATTTTCTCCTGGATCAACGGCCAAAGCTGATCAAGTCCCAGCGGGAGGCTGTCGCGATGAACTTGACACCATCGGGGCCAAACAGCGGATGGATCAGCGCCATCGCGGGCCCCAGGGTCGGTGGTGCCCCAATCGAAGATGTTCAGGACACCCATTTCCGTACTCTCCGGCATGACGATCGCGTGGAACTTTCCACTCAGTAGCCGGTCGCAGGCAAACTTCACAGTCCCGAGGGCACTAGACAGCCCTCCAGCTGTGTTCAGCGTGATTGGGACTTGGAGTTCCTTCATCTTGTTGATGGCGCCTGCATTCTGAATGTATTTCAAGGCAATGGAGTTAGAGCCACAGCCGGTATCTATAATAAACCGCATTGACCCGAGTTGGACTGCCTCACCAGCCCGTTGTCTATGGTTGTGTCGTTTTGCTGATGCGGCATCGGCATGGCCGCCCCCGTCATCACTGCTGCACCCGTCTTCATGCGCGGGTGCTGGCTCGCAGTCCAGCCACAACCTCTACACCTCATGCTCCAGATCGCTCGCGTCGTTATAAGCCAGCTGCTGATGCGCGCGGGCGGTCTTGACACGCCAGTCCTGCCACTTCTTCGGGAAGCAAAGCAGGTCTCCGTGCTTCGTGGCAATCGGCCTTGGATCGACCGCTCTGATCTTTCTTCCTCAGAGTCCACGGCGTGGGATAGTGTGTAGAAGGGTATATTATTACCTCCCTCTCTTTCTGGTCAGCGGCCGACGTTCGCTTGTCGTTGCCCCCCGCAGCATGGCTCGAGGAGCTTCTTCCGGGTCTTCCCGTTTCGAGCAGGTCCAGCGCCCCCTTCGGGTGCGACTGAATCCCGCCTGCCAGCAAACATTTGAGCGCCTCAATAAAGAGAAAGCCATCGGTCTTCGCGACGGCAAAACGACGCTGCGCGTTCGCAGTGGTGGCATTACTGCCCCCAGTGGTTCCATCGTTTGAAGCCGGGGTAGTGGTTGACATTTTGTTGCCAGGGCTGGCCATGGGCCCCTGTATAGTCGCGCGGGATCGCGACCCGGCGAACGGCACAGCTGGGCATGCCAACTGCATCTGTTCAGCAGGAGCTGCACAGTGTCCTTCTGTAGCATCTCCCGCCGGGGCGACGCCGGCACCGCGGGCGCCGCGCGCCGCCCCCCCGGATCACGGATGCCCGGGAGCGTTGGCCCCATGCCAACACTTGTCGCCGAAAAGGTACGTTTGACCGTCCAAGTGGTGCCAGCATTTCGCTTTGCATCTACCCTTTTGACCACTCGACTTATTACCGCGCGATTTTCCTCCGTCTGGGGCGGGGGCGGCCGGTGATTTCAGCGCTTTTACGCTTTTCTCGGCTGCGGCCGTCTGCTCCGCGTTGCGACTGCACGGTGAGCCCTTTCTCGCCTCCCGGAGGCTCTGCTCCCATGCGTCCCGTTCCTGCTTCTCCTGCTTCGTCAATGGCCGATGCTCACGACCGCAGAACCGTCGCAATTCTGGGGTCCTCGTCTGTAGGCGCAACAAGCCCGGCCCCTACCCTTCGATGGGGGATTGCTACTACCCCGGCTGCTGCCGCGCCCATCCTGTCTCCTAGCGCGATCAGTTTTCCCGTTCTTGCTATCGCCTCTGCCTTTGCCTCTCTCCTTCCTATCTCCCCTGCCTTTCCCCCTTGAATCACCCTTGCCTCCCCGGCCCCTCCCAGACGGCCATGCACGGGGGGGCCCTGGTGCGGCAGCCTGGGTCCGTCCACTTTTCTGCTGAGGCGCGGGCGTCGCTTTCTTAAGGTGCAGGCACGGGCAGTCATGCCGACTGAGGGAACATTGCCCCTTCTGCCAACGTCGGCAGATGACGGATTTCTTTAGCCCCCCGTCCTTCATGGCGAGGGAATCCTTGTTCCCACCACCTGCCCTCTCGCCATTGGGCTTCACTCCTCGCTTGTTGATCTGCTGCTTTGGGGTTATTCGGTTATCCTCTCCCCGGTCCGGCAGCATATGGCTAGCGATTCTGCCCGGGAGCCACTCATGCGACTTATCCCCTTGCCGTAGGGGTCGTTGCTATGATCGTACATCGCCAGAGTCATGGTCATACATGGGCACTTCTTCATTTGTTCGTAGAAGTGGCTTTGGATGGATGGTCTGGAAGATTCATGGGGTTTCTCCATCTCTAGCGTCACCCTCATCCATTCGTCATGGAAGTGGTAGAGGTCTCGGTCTGCCTCTTTACCCTCTCCTCTAATCTGAATGGCCATGAGGTCCTCATAGTTATACACCTGTCCGTGTTCCTCTCGAGTGGTGGCATGAGTTTGAATAATGCGAAACATCGATCTGCCCGAAAGCAGCCCTCCAGCCTTCAGTCGTTCGAAGTCAGCGCGATCAACCTCATTGGCGAGATGTCGGAGGGCGTGGGAAGCACCTGGATCCCCTTGAATCTTGTTGAATTTTGCGATGAGATCTGCCGCTATACGTATGTCTAGGTTTCCAAAGTACGGGCCTGGGTCCATCAAAGCCTTAGCTTTCACCTCCTTGGGTTCAAACGCCTCAGCTACCCATTTCGCCGCCAAAGCACGGTTTTGCTGCGAGCTCGAGGCCGCTGCCCGCATGGCGGACATCTTCCGCATTCGGAAGGCGCCCGCGCCTGGCAGTGGGTCTAAGGTAATTTTGCCCCCCCGTATTCTGGGAGTCCCGGGCCTCCACCTCCTCCAGGAGGGCCCGGGGGTGGTGGACCACCTCCCCCCGGATCGCCTTGCCCGGCGTTCTGAGCTGCGGCATATCGGCTGATTCTGCGGTTTGCGGCTTCATATCTTCCTCCTCGGAGCTATTGTCATCCCCATTACTGGAATCTCCCTCCTCGGAATCATCGTCATCATCGGGGTCCTCGTCATCGCCGTCGTCGTCATCGTCGCTTCCATCACTGGGGTCGTCACCCCCAGGCGCGCCTTCAAAGCCGCCTTTCTTCCCTCCCGGCTTACCCCCATCGCCGCGAGCATGGCCCTGGCGAAAGGGCTCGTCGCCATCCCCTGCGAGGTCTCCCGCAGCAGCCGCGGTTCTCTTCAGCCGGGCTGGCGCTGTGCACCCCGGGAAGGAATAGGTGGCCCCTCCTGTTTCTTTTTTTTTATGTTCCTCTTTCTGTTTTTTGCGCCTCGCTGGGGGCCAATTCCAAGTGGTTGCGATCTTCCTGTTTGTTCTTAGCGGCGCTGAGTTCTGACTCTTTCATCGGCACTTCGGCCTTCTCGCATCTCATCGGTTTGAGGACGTGCGGCTTCTTCCATTTTGAGCGCGCGCAGTTCAGCATTTTCTTAAAGCTCTTGTATGCGACGAAAAGCTATGGCCTCGGCCCTAGCCTCCGCTTCGTCTCGGGGCCGCTTGACCCCCTCCTCTTCTCGCGTCCTTTTCTTCATCGCGGCTTCTTCTTCTTCTTCTTCATGCCGCTCTCTCAACGCGGCCTCGTGATCGCGCTCGGTCGCTTTCGCGCTGCCCACAACGCCTCGCCACCCAGTCGCAGTGCTGATCGCAGAACGTTCGTCGGCATCGCTCACGCGTGCGCGGGGCGTCGGGCATGTCGCATGCGAAGCATCTGGTTTCGTCGGACATGGCCGGTCTGGATCTCGAGCCCTCGCGCTGGGACATGGCCCCGCCGGTTGATCGGACGCGCGTTGCTGTTGCCGATACCGCTCTCCTTACCGTGCTCGTCATGCCCTGTAGACCGTCCTGCGCCAGTTGCATCGCTTGTTGCCTGTGTGTCCGCTCGCGCTGGGCTTCCCATTCCTATGCAGTCGAAACGGCTTCTCTTCGGAAGTATTGTTTTGCTGCTTCAATTTCCACATGGGCCTGCATCTCGGCGTTTCGCAGGGCTTGAACTGCTTCTTCCGCCTCGACCCTCGCGCTGGCATGGCCAGCTTGGGAAGTCGCCGCAGCGCGCTGGGCATGTCGTTGCAGAGACCTTAACTCTGTTGCCCTACGGGCGGCTGACTCCTGTTTCTCAAGAGCCTCCGCCCTTGCTCGGATCAGTGCCTTGGCCCCCCCACAGGCCCCCCCCGGATTGTCGTCGCGGATTCTGAGACTCGCTCGCGCTCAGCGCGTGCGTCGGCAGCTCCAGCTTGCGAAGCCCTTGCCTCGTTCTCAAGTCGTAGCTGCATCAGCTGAGCCTCGCGAAGGGTAGACTCAGCCGTCCCTTGTGCCTTGGCGGCTTTCTCCTCCAGGTGGCGCCTCTCGGCAATGGACATAACTGCAATTTGTTCTGCCTTGGAGGCGGATTGTTCCAATGCTGCAGTGGCCTCCTGGAGCGCCAGGTGGATATGTTCCTCAAGCCTGGCTTCCCGACCTTGTGTCCCCCGGAGGGCAAGACGGGCCTGTTCGGCGATGGTTCGCTCAACCTTCTTTTGCTTTTTGCCTCGCGGTCCGCCATAGGCGCCGCCTCATGGAGGGCAGTTTTCTCCTCCTTTCCCCATCGAAAGATTTCATTGAGTTCGTGTTCCGCCCGTTGTGTAATGAGTTCGTTTTGCCTTCTCTGATGAGCTTCCATGTCAACCATCATGGAGCGCATGGTTGCGACATCAGAGATTCGTTCTTGATCGAGTTGGTGTTGTCTCATCTCCTGCTGTTGCTCCCACTCATGGTTTTTGCATGCAAAGCAGTTGTGTTGTTTCGGAGGCAAGCGCCCCTGGCATAGGTAACTCAAGTTGCACAGAGGGCATTGGTATAAACATCCTCGGCATACAGGTTTCTGGCATTGCCGGGCGTCGGTTGTTCTGCCCGGACAACGATTCTCTGGGCCTGCTTCGCATGCTGGCCCGCGATGCGTGCAGGTTCCCCTTGTCGTACACTGTGACGTCGACGACCTCGAGAGAGAGACGAACCGCGGTGAGACCCCCTTGAGTTGCGACTGCGACCGCCTTTTCCCGACCTCGACCCCTGGGATACTAAGCTCGGCGAATCGAGGAGCTGTCTCCCGCGGGGTCTGAAACCAGGGGCTGGATCGGGGTCGTCATAGACACCCGAACCGCCAGGCTCAGTTTTAGGGCGCTTCTCATGTGGGGATTGTTTTTATGTTTGTTGGATCATCTCTCGGGGTCTTCCCATGCCGTGCATGTGTCGCGGTTCCCACGGATGAGGCCCCCAGGTCTTCTTTGCGGGGGCCATCGCCCGAACGGCTCGTGCTTTTTCCCTTACGTCGGACATGGTCCGTGGTGCGTTTCTTCGGCGTTCCCTCAGGGGTTAATGTCTCACGATTCTCCGATGAACTCGATGTGGATATTGCATCCTTCTGGTCATTCGGGGGCTGGACATCGGCCTCCTCATCGGACGAGCTGGAGTTCACGACGTAGGCCTGCGCGACATCGTCGGACAATGGGTTTCGTGGGCAGCGTTTTCCTCCGTGCCATTCATCTTCCTCTTCCGAGTCGTCTTCTGGAACTGGAGTCTCTTGCCGCCCACGATTGACGGGGGCGCCGTCATTTCGCGTCACATCACCGGCAGGGGAAGGATCACGTATGAGGGCGAAAGGGTTCTTCATCACCAGCTTCGCGACGACCTTGTCGTCCCGCTCGGTGGGGGACATCGATCGCTCGGGTGCGTTGAAACTCCCCATCATGGGCGTCCTTGATTCTTGAATGCGTTGTGAGGTCGACTGTTTTGGTCCGTCGACTTGGTCCTTATACTTTCCCATCTCTTTCGGGCTGGAACCACCTCCCTCATTCTTCTCATCATGCGAGGAGGTGTTCTTGCTTGCCCCAAGGCGACCGACACGGTCGGTCGTCCTTGAATTGGAACTTTCGGCTGATAGCCCATCTTTGCCCAACTTGAGCCCAACAGGGCTCAAATCATCAGGTAGTACTGGTCGCAATGTTGGGGTCCATAGTAGCGGATCCAAGGACATGGCGGAAAGTAAAGGTGATAAGGTCCGTTAAGCAATGTGGCAAAGAGAATGTGTTGTATGATGTATACGCGCGCGGGGCACGCGCGCGACCTTTTCCAGTCCGAAATAGCTTCGGTCCAGTACGTGTTCAATCAAGGTTGTATATGTACATGACCGGCGGCAGGGAGCGTATGGTAACGACTCTCTTGGCATCCCCCCAAACTCTCATCCGGCTGTTCCTCTTTCACCTGCTTCTCTGGCGTTCCTCCTTCTGCTCGCGCGCCTGATTTTCATCGGATATCATTCCTCCTGCTCCTCCGTTTCCTTCGCCTCCTCCTCCGCAGCGCTTCCTCCTCCTGATCCCTCCTCCTATCATCCTATTTGCCCTCCCCCGTCCCCCTTCCCCCGTCCCCCCCTCTTCTCCCCGTCCCCCTCTCCCCTCCCCGTCCACCCACATCATCGTCGTCGTCGTCGTCCTCCCTTCCTCCTCCCTTCCTCCTCCCCTTCCTCCTCCTCCTCCTCCTCCTCCTCCTCCTCCTCCTCCTCCCCTTCCTCCTCCTCCTCCTCCTTCCTCCTCCTCCTCCTCCTCTTCCTCTTCGTCCTCCTCCTCCTCCGCCTCCCACTCCCCCTCCTCTTCCTCCTCCTCCTCCTCCGCCTCCTCCTCCTTTTCCTCTTCCTCCTTCCCCTCCCCTCCTCCTCCCCCTCCTCCTCCGCGCCCTCGCTCTTTTACTCCATCTGCACCATGCACGGCTGCGCCAGCTCGCCGCTGTCGGCCTGGAGGGCGCCGGGGCAGATGGCGACGGCAGCCGAACCGTCTGGGAGTCCCACGACGACGTCCCCAACGACAATGATGGCGACGACGTCGACGACGAAGACAACAACCAGGTCAACACTCAAACTGCGGGCCTGGTCCACGGTACGTCTGCTCACGTCTTTTCACCTTGGGTGAACCCCTGCGCTGCCGACCCGTGGGCCCGCGACCCCCCCCCCGACACCGACACCGACACTGCCTCGGAATCCCTTTGGGGCTACGGGGATCCCACTGGGAGAATCCTATAGAACGAAGCCTTAAGAAGGTATCCTTGGAAGTTTACCGACGTCGATGCATGTCCACGCGGCCACAGCGAGGTTCAGCTGGGAAATCGGTCAAGCCATGGATCCATGGCGATCCCTGGCGGTTTCTTACTACTAGAGATTCTTTTATCAAAATTCCTCACGGATGGTTCCCTGCAGTGGATCCTAATCCATATTCCTTTGCACGATTCCCTGCTAAGGATTCACTTCTCCGGGTTCCTTACTATGGATTCCTTACAGAGGGTTCCCGACCACATATTCTTTACTAAGGATCCAGGGAATCCAAAGTACGAATTTGCTACACATGAAGACCTACTAAGGGATCCCAAGCAATGATGCCCTGCCACAGATTCCCCACTATGGATTATCTGCGGTGGATTCCCTACTAAGGCTTCCTTATGAAGGATTCGTGAATGCGCCGATCCAGCGTGTGAGTTTGAAAAAAAGTCTCAGCTACAGCCTGCAGCTTAGAGCCTGAACTTCAGCTCTGCTGGGGGGGGGCCGGGGGGGCTCTGCCGGGGAAGGGAGGAGGGGGGGGACGAATTGTGGTGCGCTTTCCGGGGTGGGCTTTTCCGGGCCCACGAGGGCCCCAAGACGGGCGAAGAGGGCCCCAAGACCGACCCCCCAAGACGGCCCCAGAAGCCCCCGAGACGCCCAAAGAGCGCTCTAAGACAACGAAGATGAGGATGACCTCCAGACGGCCCAAGAGGCCGCCGAGACGCTCCAGGAAGCCTCTAAGAGCACTCAGAAGAGGGCCCCAAGACCCTCCAAGACGGCCCCAGAGGCCCCCAAGATCGCCCCAAAATGACCCAAGAGGCTCCCAAAATGGCCCCAAGACGGCCCAAGAAAGCCCCAAGACTGCCCAAGAAACCCCCAAGACGGCCCCAGAGGCTCTCAAGACGGCTCCAAAAGGGGAGCCAGACGGGGAACACGAACGGAAATTTCGAGCCCTCGGCCTCCAGAAGCCCACAAGAGGCCCCAAGAGGCCCCCAAGAGGGCCCCAAGAGGTCCCAAGAGGCCCCCAATAGGCCCCTAGCAGGACCCAAGAGGCCCAGAAGAGTTTATTTTTACATGAGCTACGAGGCAAGGATCAGCGCCACGGAACTGGACCCACGGTGAGGTCATTCCTCTGTGGGTGCAGGCCCTTGCAAATACGGTTGAAACACCATCTTTGCTTGGGAGCGGGCTGCCCGCACTCCTTAGCCAAGCCTCGATCGTGGCTTAGGGCGGCGTAGGAAAAACAACGGATGCAAACTGTAATAACCGTGCCATCCGAAACAGTGGCCGTGACAAGCTCGTGTCTCAATCCGCGCAAGATGGGGCCATCGAGCCTAGAAAAATCAGCACAAACGCCAGGGGGAGGAGGACGGTCCGATGCTTTAACCGTGCGGCCACTCAAGCAATTCTGACAACGCCAAAAACTGCGGGAACACAAAGAGACGTAAGCCCACTCATGAGGAGGACCTTGGGGCTCCCTGGACTCAAGTGGCAAGGCAAGCCATGGGGCATCCGACAAATCCAGGCGGGGCCATCTGGGCAACACATTGGCAGCCAAAGCGCACACCGCCTTGGAAATCCGAATGCGGCGGTCAAGCTCCTCGAGCTCATTGTCGGAAGCCCTTGGGTGAGACGACGCTGGTGCCTTGGCAGCCGCGTCGGCCTCTGAATGCCCAGTGCGCAGCCAGCGCTCCCGAGCAGAAATGCCCGCTTCCTGCGGGTCTAGATGGGCTTTGACTTTAACGACCGACTCGACGAGACTCACACCGACACGAAACAGCATCATGAGCCCAGCGAAAGGACGCTTATGACTCAACTGCACAGCTCTGGGGGCTTCACATCGGGTGACCACATTCGACCAGTCCGAGAAAAAAATGGAAGGGCCCCAATCTCCATCCCTACCGCGGGCTATCCCCGCAAACTCTGAGCACTGGGACGTCTGGGGAAAGGGTGTGTGAATGGACCAAAAAGCATGCCTACGCCCATCTTTACCCAGAGCCACCAGCCCATAGCCAGCACGGGAGAGCTCACTAATCTCATGCCGAATGCAGCTGCCGTCGAAAAACATGTTGCCTGCAAAGGTGCCACCATCCTGGGGGGGCTCGTCCCAAAGCAACTTGGCTTGAATGTCACCCCCTTCGCTAACTGGACGGGGGAAGGTATCTCCAGGATGAGGGAAGAGGCCCCTGTTGAAGAGCAGGCGGTCGAGGGGGTCGGACATATCCGGGTCAGCGGCCATCCTCAGAACATCAGGCTTCACCAGCTCATCGCGCAGAGACGCAACTGACGGGCACCACCAGAGCCGAGGCCCAGAAGAGGCCCCCAAGAGGCCCAAAAGAGGCCCCGAGGGTCCCCACAACGGCCCCCAGGATGCCTCAAAAGTGTACCCATGAGGCCCCCGAGAGACCTACACGAGATCCCAACGAACACTGAAGAGCCCTCCGACACCACCTAGTCACGGTGGCGGCATTGGCCGAAGGCCACTACATAATCGTAAACGTCACCGTCATCGTCATCGTCGTCGTCGTCGTCGTCGTCATCATCATCATCATCATCATCATCATCATCATCATCATCACCATCACCATCACCATCATTATCATCATCATCATCATCATCATCAGCAGCATCATCAGCATCAGCATCAGCATCAGCATCAGCATCAGCAGCATCAGCATCAGCATCAGCATCATCATCAGCATCAGCATCAGCATCAGCATCAGCATCAGCATCATCATCATCATCATCATCATCATCATCATCATCATCATCATCATCATCATCATCATCATGGTCATCATCATCATCATCAGCCTCCTCTTCCTCCTCGTCCTCCTCCTCCTCCTCGTCCTCGTCCCCCTCCTCCTCCTCCTCCTCCTCCTCCTCCTCCTCCTCGTCCTCCTCTTTCCCCCCCTCATCTCACAGCCGGTCCCCCGGACCACCCGTGGCAACGAGGAGGGCCCTCGAGTACAGAGCCTCGCACCTCGATCCTCGAGGATCCAGGATCTTGTCATTATCATCATCATCATCATCATCATCATCATCATCATCATCATCATCATCATCGTCATCGTCATCGTCATCGTCATCGTCATCGTCATCGTCATCATCATCCCTATCATTATCTTTATATTAATCTTCACCTTTGTCTTCATCTTCATCTTCATCTTCATCCTCCTCCATCAGTGCGAGGCGTTCCTCCTCCTTTTCCTCGTCATCCTCCCCTTCTTCTCCTCCTCCAGGGGGGCATCGACCTCCCCCGCCTGGTCCTCGTCTTCCTCCCACCCTCCCCCTCCTGTTCCTCCTCTTCCTCCTCCTCCTACTCCTCCTCCTCCTCCTCCTCCTCCTCCTCCCTCCCCCTCCCTCTCCCCCCTTTCCCTCCTCCTCCTCTCCCTCCTAGTTTTCCTCCTCCTCCCTCTCTCAGCCTTGGGCTGGGATGCGTTCAGTCCGCTCCTGCTTTTGCAGCTTCCCTGTCCATTGGTGGAAGCCTTTGCAAGGATTTGTCGGCATGGAAGCGGGGTCCCGTGATCGGACCGCTGTGGATGGTCATACTAGTATGGTTAAGCAAGCCCACGGGAGGGGTGAGACCCATTGGGCTCCTCCCCCTTTGGGCTCGAGTATGGAGTCGCATCCGTCACCGCCTGTGCGCGGCCTGGGAACGGACAGTACATGAAACTTTTTCTGGGGGCTCAGCTCCAGCACGGCGTGCAACAAGAGCGCTTGGGCCCACAATGCCCTGAATGCGTACGCCAGGTCGACAGCAGGGCTGGAAGCAGCGACCCTGTTCTTTGACCCGCGCAAATTCTATGAGCACATTTCGCACCGAGAGCTGCTGGCGGCGGCCCAAGCGAGTTCTTTCCCATTGGCACTGTTGCGTGCATATTGCTGCCTGTACAGAGGGGCGCGGCGAGTGTCGTGGCAAGTAGCGATCAGTCGCGAGGTCCAGCCCAATGGAACAGTCATTGCGGGCTGTTCGGGGGCGACCACCTCTGCGCGTCTGCTGCTGCTGCTCGGAGCCCTGCGCAAGGCAGCGGCTGGCAGCCCCACAGTCCGTGTCAATAATGTGATTGATGGCATCTCGCTCCGTGCGGTTGGCGGGAGGCAGGTCGTCACTCGCGAGTCTGCAGCCGCCTTCTTGTCCCTGGCTTCGGAGCTGCAGCGGGTGGGACTGCCGACAGCAGTCCACAGGCTAGGCCTGCTCGCCTCCTCGGCCGAGCTCGCGGAGGAGGTCGCCCGTCGATGCAACCTGCCAGTGTCGGTGCGAGCGCAGGTCCACAGGGACTTGGATGACGGGGCGCTGATGACCATTTAACCCTATCGATTAGCTACTTCTTCTTGAGTTTTGGGGGAAATTCGAGGGTTACCTTCGAATTTCCCAAGAATCTGACGATGCGACTGACGGCGCCAGGAGGCGTGCCAGCACGCAGCACGAGCGGTTCTGCGAGGCCCGGCAGCAAGTTGCCAAAGCCCCCTCGCGGCGGGAGGCGGGGGCTCAGCGTGGCGCAGTCTTTGGGGCGGGAGTCACCTCCAAGGCCCTGTGGGGAGCCAGCATAGAGGGCCCCCCAATGGGAAGCTCAAGAGGATCCGAGCGGCGGCTCTCAGGGCGGAAGGGAGGCTTCCGAAAGGATGCTCCCTCGAGTTGGTCTCCATGTGTGTTCGCGGAGGCTGGTTTCGAGACCCCTTAGTCATCAACACGGCCGACG